GTTTCATGTTCTGATGGAAGACCAAGGCAAATACAGGGGTTTAATTCTGTAATTTGTATTTATAAATAGCAGTAAAAACATTGTGAGGTTTTCAAAATTTGCAAATTTAAGCACGCTCAAAACTATTATTCATACTCACTGAAAGTTTATTTAAATTATGGATTAAATGTTGTTTTTGAAGGATTTTTCTTATTTTTTTATTCATTAAAATTTTTAACGTTAAAAAATGATTATTATTTAATATTTTATTTTAATTTGTTGAATTATTTGCAGATTTATTTTAAATAATAGATTGGTTTGATTTAACAGTTTACTTTTAATTTTAAAAAATGTGATAATATATGTTGGCTTGTAAAAGAGGTATATCTTTTAGGAAAAGAGATATTTGACAAAAATCCGGTGTGTAGATCTACATTTTGGCAAGATTCGATAGTTGCACTCTCAAGAACTTTCCGTCTAAGTAAGTTATTTTTTCTAATAAGTCAGCCATTTTTAGGTCGATTTTTTAAAACATTAATCCCTTAACATCTTCCATAGTTTACGCAGACATTCACACTTAAACTTAAATATATTTTTAAGCGTTCTTTAATTTATTTTTTTTCTTATATCTGAATTGTTACGTACACACACGCACAAATATCATATATAGAATTCAGATTAGCTGGGTATGCATATCTTTAAAAGGTCTGTGGACAGAGAAAATTGACTTGTGGGTGACTGGCATATTCCCGCTTTATCAGTTAGTTTTGATTTTTGTGTCCATTCTGTTTAATTGTTCCAACATTTTATCGATATTGAACACTTTCCTTAATAAATATACCTATTTTAAAGACACACAGACACACACACACACACACACACACATACACATATATATATATATATATATATATATATATATATATTAGTTTAGCCAGTGTGGAATGGGTCGGCAATCCATGCCCGTGCCCTGACAGGGAAATAAGCAGAAATAAAAGATAGGGCAACAATTAAAATACGCATATCTTCTCAGAAAAAAGTATAATATATATAAACCAGAGAAAAGACCATTAACATCAACTATCTTAATCGGCTGTCCCGACCTGAAGATAACACCTCCAAGATTCAAAGAAAAGGCACATGCCACAATGACTGGGTCTCGAGTACACACAACAGTAGACAAAATAAATAATATCTGTCTATATCTCTGAGATGAGGTATCATGATTATTTACCCTATTTACATCTTCATTCACATACGTACGCTCCCGCCTTCTTCAGGTGAATGGAATTTCGATTCGAACCCTTTATTTCGTCCACCGGGGTAGATTGTTCTAGTTCCACGTGCCATTCCACTTCCGGGTGTCTCATTTATTTTCCTTTAACTCCAAGCTTTTGAGGACACATGGCCTATTGGTTCAAACGTTGGTTAGATTCAGTGACTACAGCCAAAGAGTTGTGAGTTCAATGCCAGGCCACAGCAGTGTGACCCAAAGATTTGGTGAGTTAACTACAAGGGAGATAACTAAGACAGCTGCAGGAGATATGGCACGTGAATCTAGAACAATCTACCCTAGTTGTCGAAATAAAGTGTCCGGTTCGAAATTCCAATCACCTGAAGACCGGAGCGTACAACGGTCAAAATGTTGTGAATATGGCAATGAAGATGAGGACAACATTTCGAATAATGTAAATAGTGAAATAAATAATGTTCAAAATAAACGGAACGTATACTTAAATACGGGGTATCCACTAAAAATAACATTTGAAGTCTTATATATATATATATATATATATATATATATATATATATATATATATATATATATATATATATTAGCTATATATATATATGTTACCTATAATATACATATATATATATATATATATATATATTAGCTATAATATATATATATATATATATATATATATATATATTAGCTATATATATATATATATATATATATATAGCTATATATGTATATATATATCTGTAATATGTATATATATTATATATATATATATATATATATTATATATATATATATATATATATTATATATATATATATATATGTATATTATCTATAATTTATATATATATATTATATATATATTATATATTATATATATATTAGCTTCTCTCTATATATATATATATATATATATATATATATATATATATATTATATATATATATATATATATATATATATATATATATATAGCTAACCTGACACAAAAGCACAGATGAAGATTGGGATCAACACAGTAGTAATAGTCTACTTGAAAACAAAAAAAAGCGTGCATATTATATGTGCATATATATATGACAAAATATCTTATATTTATAATATGTTTTTTTTTTTGAATTTCCATTGCACAAAATAAAAGAGTGTTTGGGTGCCAATCTGAGGACAGTGCAGAGATGAGTTGGATGAGTCTAATGGTGATTACGAAATTACGGCAGCTTGGAAAACTCATTATGATCGTTCTGAAATGAAAAGAACTCCCGAATTTGTTGGTGAGCACCTCAGAAACAAAAAAGTGCCTTGAGTGGGTAGTGTTGCCCTGCTGGAAGACCCTATCTGTGACAATAGGATTCCAATGTCATGGCTCTCAAACAATTTCTACGACCATGTTATCCTTACACCCAGTCACATAACTCTTCAGTTTACACCCACCTTGATTATTATCTTAAACGGGAGACCAATAAAATTCTTTGTAACACCAAAGATGAACTGAAGTTAAGGATTGACCAATTGTGAATCCCCTGGTCGCAGCGCCTTATAGTTTACCAAATGTGACGTCCTCGCCGCGGCGCCGTGCTTTTTTTTGCTCCGTTCGGGTGTCGCCGCTCCAAATTTTCAGTCGTGTTGTCTCGTTTTGACGACCAACTGGCCATTGCGGAACCCAAATTTGACGTTCTAACCTTTTGGTGATTCGGGTGGGAATAAGATTTATCAGTGTTTCCCAACTTGCTTCCAACGCCCAATTGCATTGAGGACGTTGTGAATTGATCTTAGACAGAGGATCAATCAGTATTTGGGGCCGTAATGCAAAAACGGGGTTGGATGCATAAAAAGAAAAGAAAAATGAAAATGGTGATAACAAACTTTATGTCTAGTTGTTCGAAGGATTATCTCCCGACCCGTTCTATGGATTGTGACACGTTGTTTTCCGTTGGCCAAAAAGTTGTTTGCTCTTTAAAAATTGGTTTTTCGGTGTGTCTTCGGACGAAAGTCGAAAAAAAAAAACTTATTTTGGTGGCCTGGATCTAAGTCTTCAAAATAATTGTTCTTGGATTGAAGAGGAGTCCGGAATGTGCGTGAATCTTGGTCAGCTATCTGCGAGGACTTCAACGACTGACTTGGGAACTGCGAACTCAACAATCGAACTGATTTCTGCCTGCGGCTTCGCTTATATGGACGCCGACCAAAACCGGGGTGGGTTTGTCGGCGTCTCGATAATTCTAATTACATATCCACCTCTCTGGAAGATTTCCACTTTTTTTCCATTTTTGGGAGCCTTTTCTTAATCCCACCGTCTCACCAACTTCAGAGGCGTGAGCTGCCCTCCCCACTTCTTCGTAGCAGCTTCTCATACCTATCCTGTGGATGGGTGCTTCCTTCATGCCACATGATCACCACTTGACTAATGATGAGTCGGGCGTGGACCAGTTTCAGGGCTTAACTAAAAAAAAAAATTATCTTTTCTTTTTCCTTTTCTTCCAAATCGCAGTTATCATTTTTCTAGCCGCAAACAGGACAGACGGTGGTCCTTTACACCTGGGCAGTCACATAATTATCAGAATGGGTCTTCGAAAAGAACAGTTCCCATTCATTTCCTTTCGGTACACATTTCTGATAACATAATTTTGATTTATAATGATGTTCCGTCGAGAAACACACATCGTGTGCGGATTTTAATTTTCATATCTACAAAGCCCTTTGGAGACTTATCGAAATAAACATTTTCATTTGGATTTTTTCTTTTCGGCCAGCAGTTTGTTTACGTATCCCAGATAACACAGCCGTCGCCAAAACAATTCCTTTAGATGAACTTGTCATTGTAATGACACTCTTTCGCCATTTGTTACTTATCAAAATATCCTTTTAACCATTTACTTAGGGTGTTCTGCTTATCATCCACGTTTTGGGTCTCGCCCTTTTTTTTCCTTCTTTTAAACCAGGAACTATCCAAATATAAACAAAAACTATGCAGAATATTCTGAAGTCATCTGGAGACCATGGTTGAAGTTAATGACTATTTTATTGAATAAATTTTCTCTTTAGTATTTCAAGATATGTTTGTGTAATTTTGGTAAATATAGCTATAAAACTGAGATATCAGTTTTATTTTCATTTTTCCGTAAGTTACACGAAAATTTATCCATTGCACACTGTATATCAATTAGTTTATACAGTGTCCCAAAAGTTGCGCTACTAGTGGAAAGCTTTGTATATTTTATATTTACCGAATCAATTAATATTTATATATGTGAAAATATATTATAAGGACATTTTACTGGTCTAATTATGGAAGATGATCTCATGCAAATTTCCTCTGGTTGCTATTTCCAAAGTGTGCTTTTTCAGAGAATTGTAGCATGACTTTTGGGACACCCTGTACATATTTACGGTATATATGAAAGTAAGATATGATTTTTATATATATTATTTAAATATTAATCTACAAATGACTACCATAATCTCTAGTATTAATTTTGAACAGTACGGTATCAACTATAGATTTATAAAAACTTCGAGACCTCTAAACAAACAGTATTAATGATAAGCCCCTAAACATCCGGCAATAATTACAGACCCCTAAAAATACGGCTTTAATTATAGGTTTTTACTTCCAACTCATTAATGGGTAAATTCTGTATTGTTTCGGTCTTTTCCGCAGTTTCATTAAGATATAAGAAAAACCTGCCATTGTCAATACAAAAGAACTTCCATCTGGCTTCGTAAATTCAAGGGAGATAACTCTAATACTATGAATAAATGACTCATATTACAGAGAAAATACACTAATAACAATCGACGTATTAGACACATAGATAGATAGATAGAGAGATAGAGAGAGAGAGAGAGAGAGAGAGATTATATGCCTGCTTACGCATGCCTATACTCAGATACACACAGATTTACTTACGTTGTTGAAAGAATTGCATACAGTTTTCCCAATAAAATCCACCATCTTCCTGCACAAAACGAAACAAAAATAACCTGAGACCTGTTTTTAGCCGAGTCCTTTAGTGTGACAACCCTGAATTGTCGTGTCACTTGACGCGTCAAAACCCGCTGACTTTGTCCCCAGTGTCACACCTTGTGACGTGTGAACTTGAAATCTTGCTGGGACCCAAACGGAAACAATTCACAAAGCCAATACAAATCCGTAATTGTGAACGTTACAAAGAAGTGACTCATTAAACAATTTCCCAAGTTTGTCCTTATCTAACCCTGATTATTTCAATCTCAACTCTTCACAGGAGAATAGCAATTAAAATAAGTTCTCCTGTCTGTTTTGTCAGAGAATATTCTGAGCATAGACAAGATATATTAACAGAAGCTTGTTTACAAAATACACTCTTTAACATACTCTATTTACTGTCTGTCATTGCTGGCAAAGGATATAACTGTCCACTTTCAGCTGTTCATCAAAAAATAAACAATTTACTACCGGTTGAATTAAAAAAAAAATAAAAGCAGACAGCATACAGTGGGCTGTGATAAGTTTTAACCACCCTTGATTACAGCAATTTTGGCTTGTGTAATAACGTCTCTTCTTTTTTTTCAGAAAAATACTGCGTTAGTATCAAGTTACTGTCGTCTATGAACAATAGTTGACTTATATTTTGCAATGAAAGTTCGTGGAAGTAAGGAAATTAGCGAGTTTCAACAAGGGCAAATAATAGGATGGCATCAGTGTGGCAAGTCAAATAGAGAAATTGCTAGGTTTTTCCAGGTTAGTCATCAAACGGTTAATAATATTGTCAAGAAATTTAATGAAGAAGGCCATTGCCGTGTGGAACAATGTTCAGGAAGACCAAGTATCGTGTCTGAGTGAATGAAAAGAGAGCTGAAGAGGGAAGTCATAAGAAACCATCGTCAGAGCGTCAAAGATGTCACCAACAGCATGGCAATGTCGCTATATGAAGTGAGAAAGAACCTGAAAGAACTAGGCTATCAAAAAAAGAAACCCCTGATTTCAGAGGTTAACAGGAACATTCCTATGGACTGGGCGAGAGAATTCGAGAGCAAAGATTATGAATTTTGTCAGTCTTTAATTTGGTCATATGAAAGTAAATTCTGCCAATATTCTAATTCCAGATTGGTTTATATTTAAAGAAATCATAATGAAACTTGGAACACCGAATGTCTGCAGGCGACCGTGAAACATGGAGAGATTGGAGTAATGGTGTGGGGCGCTGTCTGGTTGGGAGGGAAATCTGAGCTGATTCTTGTTGACGTGCGGTTGAATGGTCCAAAATACTGTCAAATGTTAGATAGAGAAAGGAATACTCTCACTATTTGAAACCAATCAGATTGACAAGAATGTCTACCTTTATCAAGAAGATGTAGCGTCATGTCATGCGAGTAAAGTAGCAGAGGCCTGAAAGGAATCGCAAAGAATCAAGTCACTGCCATGTGTAGCCCAAAGTCCTGACATGAATCCAATAGTGCATTTGGGAGCACCTTGACGGAAGACTTCGAGAGCGTGCAACCAAAATTACGTCAATGGCAACCCTTAAAGAAACATTGCTAAAGGAGTGGCAAAATATGGATCAGACGATTGTTGATAACTTGAAATCCATGAAAAATTGAATACTAGGACTGAAATTAGTAAATGGAGGACTTACTCCATACTAGTTTCGGCCGTTGTACGCTCCGGCCTTCTACAAGTGGTTGAAATGTATAACTTAACCCTTTGTTTCGCTTACTGGGGTAGACTGTCCTAGTTCCATGTGTCATGTGTAATGGATGTCAGTTATCTGTTATCTCCTGTTAATTCCCCTCTCCAAGTTCTCCACCGCCTTAATCAGGTATTGAACTCACACTCTTTGGGTCCTGTCACTGGATCTAACTAACGCCTTTGTCCACTGTGCCATGTGTCCTCAAAGACATTCCAACCACCTGAAGAAGTCCAGAGTGTACAACGGCCGAATCGTCGTGATAATTATGGTAACTGTTGAAGCTTGAATAAGCATGGAATAATAATAATACAACACAAAATGTACGTAACAAAATGTATTGAAACAATGAAAAAAAGGTACACAATATTTACAGGTAGTTTTGGTATATTCTTGGGAAGACTGTTCCTGCAGAATGGGTTGACTAAGTCGCAGTCGGGCAGAGTCTCTGGATTCGATCTCTTAATCTTCCGTCGTCTTCCGGTACCAACCCATATTTATATGGTCGGTACTCCACTTATGTAAATTAGGTGTATCATACACAACAGTAACAAAGATGAGGACAATAGTCCGAATAATATAAATAGTGTATATAATATCGACGGATTGCGTAATTATATTTTGAAATTGGGTGTAGTTTATTTCTCCTGGCTAAAAAAAGTTCTTAGGCCACTGTACAAGACTGTATAACCAATTCCAACTATTGGTATATTAAAACCATAGCCTTGAACCACCTGAGTGTTGACCATGAATACTAAATATGAGTTTGATTTTTATTGGGTGCTCATTTCGTATTAAGTAACGTTAATATATCTATTAAGTAACAGTGTTTATGAAGAAAAAGTGTGGTAATCCTTCCCACGAGGGGTTTGTAACAGATCTATTTATCATCTCCCAGTCGCGTCTCTGTCACTGGGCCAGTGTGCACTCAGGGGCGACTCCGTCAAAGGAGAGAGTTGCAAATGAGGAAAATTATACTTAGAGGTGCCGGCCCTGGGTAACAGCTTCCCGAAGACGCGCCCTCTCATTGCACTAGCGAGAAGGGTCGGTGCACGCACCGAGGCCAGCGCAACCGACGGTTGCCGGGGCCTGCCGGCAATTTTTGTTCCTAGACTGGGTTTACACGCTCGGGCTCTCCACATTAAACGGACCTTGTGTCGCACCTCGTCTTAGTGGGGTAACAGTGTAAGTACCTAGTGTTTATGAAGAAAAATTTTAAAATCTGTACCGAGCTAAAAACAAAATGAAAATCAAATAACGAGGTAGATTTTTTTTTAAAAAATAGCGTACCATAATAAGAACATACATACCATAATGAGAACATTAAATAGAACATATTCGTACCATAGGGTACCATAATAAAATATATTCGTACCATAGCGTACCATAATGAACATATTCGTACCATAACCATAATGAGAACATTACCATAATGAGAACATATTCGTACCATAGGGTACCATAATAAAAAATAGCGTACCATAATAAGAACATATTCGTACCATAGCGTACCATAATGAGAACATATTCGTACCATAGCGTACCATAAATAGAACATATTCGTACCATAGGGTACCATAATAAAATATATTCGTACCATAGCGTACCATAATAAGAACATATTCGTACCATAGCGTACCATAATGAGAACATATTCGTACCATAGCGTACCATAATGAGAACATATTCGTACCATAGGGTACCATAATAAAATATATTCGTACCATAGCGTACCATAATAAGAACATATTCGTACCATAGCGTACCATAATGAGCGTACCATAATGTACCATAATGAGAGAACGTACCATAGGGTACCATAATAAAAATATATTTACCATAGTGGTAATAAGAACAGAGTACCATGCTTTGAGAACATATTCGTTTTAGAGACTTTGAATTTTACTTTTTTCTTTTTTTTTTTTGTGTATATAATCTTACCGATTCCATTTAGATGCTTTTTCTTTTTGTTTCTATCACTTTATTTCTGTTAGATATCCGACACTGAAGATTTGGTCCCTGTCAAAATATTTTTTACCCGCAAAACCAAAATACATATTGACATATCCTCGAAATACTAATTTATCTAGATAAGTAGATAAACTAAACAAAGTCGAACATACAATAAAATTTATATATGAAATGGACAAAGATAGATAGATAGATAGATAGATAGATAGATATTGATAATATTAGTGTTCAATATATATAATTTATTACATTGGAATCGTAATCACGATCAAATTCATCAGACCTACAAATTCAAAATTTGAAGGGAGAATAAGAGTATTTTTTGAAATTGTAGGTTGATTTTTGAATATATATATATATATATATATATATATATATATATATATATATATATATATATATATATATATATATATATATATATATATATATATATATATACCACAGATATTATATATATATCGTAATCACGATATATATATATATATATATAATCACGATCCAATTCATCAGACCTACAAATATCTGTGGTCAATATATATATATATATATATATATATATATATATATTGATCACAGATATTATATATATATATATATATATATATATATATATATATATATATATATATATATATATGTGTGTGTGTGTGTGTGTATACACCGATAGATAGATAGATGTCATTTGTCGAAAAAACTATAACATAAATATGTTATAAAATCACTACAAAAATAGCCATTTTGTTTAAACACTTCTGATGCCTTATCAAGATATGGTGTTGAATGTATAATAAAGGTTTGTAAACGGTTCAAAGCCATCAAACACTCCTCGCCACGGGAAACGTTGTTACATAAGCTGGAATGACCAATCAAAATACATGTATATTCAAAAAACTTGAATACGAACTTTGGTTATAATAATTATTTAATGCTTTATTGTTGGGGTTAAACTAAAGTAGAATCCATTCTAAATAATAAATATTAAATTGTAATATAAAATTCAAAATTACCAATATTAAGTTTAAAATATTATAAAATTATTTAAAGAAGAATCTGTGGAAAAATATATATTTTGTTATTTATTTTTTTATTTTGTTTTAATTGAAAAACCAAAAGCTCAGGATAAACGTTAAAATATTTGAAGTAGTGATATGGATAGGGGATGATGAAATCTTTGCAAGATATATACATATATATATATCAGAATTTAGAACACCCAGGAATGTGATTCTATCTTCAGTCTGTATGTAAATATTACCATAGATGTCGTAAAAAACTACTTGTGTGGTACAAGACAGTAAGAATAAATATATTTGGTCTACTATTAGGAAGGGTGAACATAGGAAGATTATGTAGGATTTGTATAACTATTTCTACGGTTTCTTTAACAAGAATATTAGAAAACAGACTTTCAACATTTAACGAAACAAGGATACTATTGTTTGGTTTAATGGAATGTAATACGTTAAGGAAATCATTGGTCGAACTAACACTTTAATTATTAGACAAGAATCGTTACACCCGTTTATCATACTTATCTAATATATACAGATGATGCTTACAACAAACCGACAGTATATACTAGATATATTAAGTAAATTTTCACACACACACATGCACACACACACATGCACACACACACATAAACACACATATATATATATATATATATATATATATATATATATATATGTGTGTGTGTGTGTGTGTGTAGGAAAGATTTATTTCGTCCTTTAGGCGTTCAGCAGACTAAATCTGTGTATAAGTTGCTGCGACTGCACATGCTTACTTCACCCTCCATATAGATATAGATATATATATATATATATATATATATATATATATATATATATATATAAGCAGTTTACTCCAAGCAAGACGATAATTCCACTAATATACAATGGTTACAATGGTGAAAGAGAATGACAATGATTTTAGAAGGAATACCTCTCCCTTTATACATATACATATATATATATATATATATATATATATATATATATATATATATATATATATATATATATATATATATTGAAACATATTTTCTTAAATAATTTAGGCAAATTTTGTCTACTTATTTTTAATTGGATCCTTTCATATTCACGGACAAGATTTTTGGTGTCATTAAAGGAAGCGAGAAAATTACTCTATTGATACATATTATTTTTCCGAGTACTTTCGACATTAGCACAATGTAATCGTCCGGGCTTTATTTAATTCAAAAGAAATATTGCAGTGTTCATTATTTTCAAAAATTGTTATGCTCATCTGAAAGTCAATTTTTTTTTGCTAGTGAAGTGAACAACGCTGAGTTTAGCGCAGTTAGGTTGAGTAACGTTTCAGGGGATGTAATTTAGTTGAGATTGTCTAGAGTATTTTTTTTTTAATTAATAATATTAAGAATTATAGGTACATACCTCGATATTTAAACTATCTACTGTAAACATTTTAAAACATTTGTGCAGTATTCATAATTAATTTTACTAAATTTTAGTTTCAAATTTTAATATGGATAGCGTCAGAATTTTTAGTTGATTTTTCGTGAAATGTAGAGATGTATTTTCAACAAGGAATATTCCGAATTGCGAATGTGGACAGGTATTTGTAAATAAATAGACAAAACTTGTCTAAATTATTCAATGAAACAGGTCTCAATGAAATCTGCCAAAATATACGCAATATATATATATATATATATATATATATATATATATATATAAAGTATATAATATATATATATATATATATATATATATATATATATAAAGTCGGGAGTGTCACTAGCACGCAAGGGCTTACAGAGAGTGAGAGCAAGAGTAAAGATGGGTGTTTGAGGAAAGAACATAGAGAAGGACGGGGATCAGGATCAATGCATCAGAAGATGTCGATTGACATTACATTTGAATATTTAAAGATTATAGCTATCAAGGAAGCAAGTAGGAGGAAAGGAGTTGCACTCTGGGAAAGTGCGTGAGAAGAAGCTGTTTGAGTAGAAGAGATGGTTACATTTAACCGTTACGACAGTGAAAGGGTGGGACCGATGTGCCACCCTAGTACCATGCTTAAATTCATGCAGCCGAGTTACCACTGGAAGTAGTTGCCATGCAAAATATTTGTAGAAAAGACAGAAGGAAGCCACATCACGTCTGTGAGTAAGTGACCTTTGGATTTTGTTGAGAACCTTGTGATGAACAGTGGAGGCACCAGACCATATATGGTAACAGTATCCAATGGAAGAACGAATGGTAGATTCATAGATTTGAAGGATGACACGACACAGAGAACCAACTTTCATTGCGGTAGATGATCCTGGATAAAGGTGTTAGTTAGATCCAGTGACAGGACCCAAAGAGTATGAGTTCAATACCTGATGAAGGCGGTGGAGAACTTGGAGAGAGGAATTAAACAGGAGATAACATCCATTAGACATGGCACGTGGAACTAGAACAGTCTACCCCAGTGGGCAAAATAAAGGATTCAGTTCGACATTCCAACCACCTGAAGAAGGCCGGAGCGTACAACGGCTGAAACGTTGTTATAAATATGGCGACAAGGATGAAGACAATAGTCCGAATAATGTAAATAGTATACATAATACCTCATCTCAGAAATATAGACAGATACTGAAAGGCTGAAACGTTATGATAAATATGGCGACAAAGATGAGGACAATAGTCCGAATAATGTAAATAGTATACATAATACCTCATCTCAGAAATATAGACAGATACTGTTTCAATTTAGTTGGTCAGTGGAAAACGTGAGAACAGGAAGGCGTAGAGAAAGGCCCTTGTGGAATTGGGCACCAGCCATATATTTATATTTAAAGACAAAAGAAAAGCTTTTCTTAGATGACCTGTTTTATCCTCTGATGGATTTTATTTTAAGAATATATATATATATATATATATATATATATATATATATATATATATATATATATATTAAATAAAACAGACCACTTTAGGTTCCATGTAATAATTATTTCACCACAGCCCTTTTAAGGACCACGGATCATCAGACTTTACTTTACTTTGGAAGTAAAGTCTGATGATCCCAGTCCTTAAAAGGGCTATGTGGTGAAATAATTTATTACATGGAACCTTAAAGTGGTCTGTTTTTATTTAAATTATTTGCTCTGGATTTACATTGAGCTCTCTTGATTTTTTATCCTCCTTAGGTTTACCCATACGGATTACCTAGTTTTTCATAAACTATATATATATATATATATATATATATATATATATATATATATATAAGGAATCTTTTCCTTGTGCTTTTATTCATATTGTCTATTTTTAGTTATATCTGGATTTTGCACACACACACACACACATACATAGATAGATAGATAGATAGATAGATAGATAGATAGATAGATAGATAGATAGATGTTACTGTCAATCCTGGCACAGTAGATTGCAAAGATTACCATTGAGTAATTGCTTATTAAAAATGAACATTTGTCTCTAAACTTTTCAAACGTAATCATTTACGTTCAAAGTTAAATCATTTTCAGTCGTTCATCATTTTTGGCTGATTGCGACATCCGTAATCTTATTGTGGATGTCATTGGTAATTTACAAAAGGCTGAACGGAACGATGAAAATGAACCGTTAAACGAAGCTGCTTCTGAAAATTAATAGAAAATTGCTTAATAAATATTTTAAAACTATACTTATTGGTTTTGCTAATATTAGTGATTTTTTTTCTTTTGTTTGTTTTAAGTCTTATTTCTTTGGTTGTATTTTAGTGGAGGGGGGTTATTGCTTTAATTGTAAGTTTTTTTCTTATTTTTTATATTTTTACGTTTTCATATTTTTTATTTTTGGTAGCGTGTCTTTGTTGCTTTTTTTTTTTTACATATGTGAATATTTTTTCTTTCTCTTTCTTTTTAATTGTTTATTGTTCTGTTTCATTTTTTGTTGTTGTTACTCTTTCGCTTCGACGTCTTTTGCATATTTCATGGTGGCGTTTTTTCACCATTCTGCTTTTGATCATATTCCACTAATAATTTGCTTAAGTGAAAAGTAAACAGTTTGAAACGAGAAACATTTAACTTGCTTCTTAAAATAAACACCTGTGCAAAACTAATAATACACGTTTATGTATGCATGTATGTACGTATATATGTATGTATATAGATAGATAGATAGATAGATAGATAGATAGATAGAACATTGGCACAGGTGTTTCTTAAGTATTTCAATTATATGTACATATATGTATATACGTTTGAATATATATATATATATATATATATATATATATATATATATATATATATATATATGTATATATATATGTGTGTGTGTGTGTGTGTGTGTGTGTGTGTGTGTGTATAAGTTTTGAACGATAAACAAATATTAAAAAATTAACATTTTCCTACACATTGAGTTGTATATTAATATTTTTTTGTTTTATTATTTCAATTAGGTTCCTCGGCTAGTCTCGGCCAGCATAGCCATAATCTGGTGAAAAAAAAAATCCCTACTTGTTAATAGAAGAATGAATGTTTCCGAGGAAAATGAAGTTTATCTTCTGGCCAGTCCTTGTGTTGGTCAAACGGCCTCTTTCAAATTGTTTTTAAGATAGAGGATGGAAGATTCTTGACTTTTAAGAATTCCCTCTTTGGCCATTTTGACAGTTTTATTGGTTGCTTAGAATATGCTTATATTATGAAATGGACAAAGTCCGACAATTATTTTAAGACATTTTTTTTTATGTTTTGCATTCTTTTTGTAGATACAAATATTTAAGTAAATGCTCTGTTTATAATAAAATGTCTTACAGGCTATATAACGGTTCCGTATAGGATACAGGTTCGAATCCTGTCGGAGGACACATATTTTCTATGAAAATTTCTCGGACATTCAGTCCGGTAAATCTTGTTTAATACTGTGTATTTTTATAGTCCACCAATAGAAGGTTAACCAATCAGAAGCCGCAGAACATTGTATCCGTCGTGTATAAAGGCGTCCATTTTTGTTTATCCTAACCAAATGACCAGTGCCAACTTGTCCGGCGAACATGACAGACGGAAAAACTACGCTCTGCTACTTTGCTGCGATATCCACTGCTAACCTGAACTACGCTTTCCTACTGTCTCCGAAATATTCACTGCTAACCTCTGGATTCTATACTCGAAGACGACCGTCATGAATATATAACATGATTTGTCTCTAAATTATAGAAGGGACATTTTTAATGTTCAATCTCGTACAGATTGAATCAAAAAATACAATTTTCAGGTTCCTGGCATATCTTTTCAAATAAATTGTCCAATATATGACTACTAATATATATATATATATATATATATATATATATATATATATATATATATATATATATATATATATATATATATATATATATATATATATATATATATATATATATATATATATATACACTGCTGCTAGTTGAGCGGCCGATTTACACTGTAACAGAAGCAAGAAAATTGGTGGGATCAAGTTCAAACTTTAATCACTTGACCACAATAGTTTTAACGCTAAGCATGCATGGGCTGAAAGTAGTGTAATAGAAATAATTTGTAAAAAGGATTAGAAAAAGAAGTAAATTTATATTTTTAAGGTTTTATTGAAATTTTATTTACGTTTCTACATGTCCTCCATCATTCGCAATACAAAAGAGTAATACGATTTTTTTCTCTCGTAAATACAAATAAAGTTATAAATTTTTAAAGGACAACTTTATGGACACTGTATATTGTATATATATATATATATATATATATATATATATATATATATATAAATATTATATATATATTTTTATTAGAAATAAGAAATTCCCTCGCTACATAAGAGTTGTCATGTTTCAAAAACGAGAGCCAAAATCCTCAATATAATTATCAAAATTAACTTGAGTTAAAGTATCAAGCTCTACTTCTGTATGTAGCACTGATTTTTTTTTTTTTTAAATAAAAACAAAAATATTAAAGAACTCGGATTATTTACCTAACGTGTTGTTTCCTAATTTTCTACATATCTGCATATATATATATATATATATATATATATATATATATATATAGAGAGAGAGAGAGAGAGAGAGAGAGAGAGACAGGGAGAGAGAGACAGAGAGAGATAGATAGATAGATAGATAGATAGATAGATAGATAGATAGATAGATAGATAGATATTAATAGTAATACTCGGTTGGAAAAATTATTTACATATATATATATATATATATATCGGGGAAGAGAGAGAGGGAGATCAAATTCGTACGAAGGCAAATAGGTAAGGTTTATTTGCATTGAAAGGTGGGCGTCTGTCTTAAAATCTCCACAGCAGATTTTTTCGTTGAATTGTTCAGGGATGTCGATCAATGTTGCACGTATGAAAACATATCTCCATGTGTTCACGTGCGTGCATTTAATTTTATTCGCGATAAATTCCAGACAACAACATAGTCTTGAAGCAAATATCAAATTAAGTCTTTTTTAATCTCTCTTCTCGGGCAATGAAAAATTCTAATGCGATTGATTACCGAAACAAAATCTATATCTTGAAAATCTCTATCTCTATTGTTGATACGTTTTTTTTTATTGTTTTCGGTTTTTTTGATGATTTTTACGTATTTATATATATATATATATATATTTTCGGTCGGTGCATTAACGCAATTCATTTTGTGAGGAAACGGGCTATATAAGTTTTTGATTTAAAATTGACTTTTGTCGCAAATGCAAAACAATTAAGTACACACAAATCTAAAAAAAAGGCACCATTTGTACCAGAAGCTTTTTATAAATTTGCTACATAATAAAAATAATATATATATATATATATATATATATATATATATATATATAATTATTTATTTAAAATTATTTATAAAATTCCAAAACGCGACATAAGAAGTCTCATGTTTCAAAACAAGAGCCGAAAACTTCAATATAATTATTTAAATTAAATTGAGTTAAAATAAGCTCTGTTCCATCTTCAAGCGAAATTTTTTTGGAATAACGTGTTTCTGAAATTTACGTGTTTTAAAAATTGAAATCAAAATCTCCATGGTAACAGATAGGGCGAATTGTTTAAATTGGGTAGGCGAGTGTTGGGTGTTAATAATAAGTATCAGTATAGAGTAGATGTCAAGACAGGGAAAGGTGGGGGTGTCTAAATATTGAAACAGAAGATGTATTAACCCTCGTATTGAAGTTTTCTGCTATTGTTTTGAAACATGAGACTTCTTATGTCGCGTTTTGGAATCATATTTTTAAATAAATAATTATATTTATGCTCTACTTTTTGTATCGAGCACTATTTTTAAAAAAATAATAACTAAAATACTAAGGGACTTTGGATTATTTACCTAACCAGTTCCTTCCTATTTTCTATATACACACACACACACACACACACACATATATATATATATATATATATATATATATATATATATATAATAGAAATTATTAAATAAACATTTAGAATGCAGTTGGTATTCATTTTATATATCGATAAAGCCTAAAGTAAATAATAAGGCAGGACGTAATACATCCATCCATCCATATATATATATATATATATATATATATATGTGTATATGTGTATATATATATATATATATATATATATATATATATATATATATATATATATATATATAATATAAAGGCTTAAACACTAATATTCCATGGTCATAATTTATAAACGTTTTCAAGGTTATTTAAAACAAAAAATATTTTAGACTAAAATAAGCTTTTGGATACAAATTATACTAATTAACCCATAGGTGGAGGAGGAAGGAAAGATGAATTCATGGCTTTCCTAAGTGTATTTACGCTTAAGTGAATATAACGAACCCGATTTGAATTGGAACTTGGTTATCCAATCTCCAAACCTGTGAGGCTATCCATTTTAACACCCATACATTCAATCTTACTGCATCTGGTATTCCCAAGTGGTCACCCATCCTGATGCTGACCAGGCTCGACGTTGCTCGGTGATCGTACGAGAACCGATGATGCAACGTGATATGGCCGTAAAATAATTCATATATATACATATATATATATATATATATATATATATATATATATATATATATATATATATAAGTAACAGAATAATATTGGAATCCCTTTTTGGTAGGGCAAGGGACTTTTATCCTCTTCCATGTTATGCGTGCTTGATAAGTAAAAATGCTCAAATATAGATACGTTTTAAATGTCTACTATATACACATATTCATATATAGACATAGAAGCACACACACACTTGTACACGCACACACGTATATATATATGTCTGTGTGTATGTGTATCTATCGTTCTATATCGATCTATCTCTCCCCCTCTCTCTCTCTCTCTGTCTCTCTCTCTCTCCATATATATATATATATATATATATATATATGCACTAAATATGTAGCAGGCAAAAACAATTCAAGGCCAAACACGGATATTTTAAAAAATTACTGAATATACCGCTCAGAATCGAACGCGTAAACTATATATATATATAGTCTACGCGTTCGATTATATATATATATATATATATATATATATATATATATATATATAGTCTACGCGTTCGATTATATATATATATATATATATATATATATATATATATACGTTCGATTATATATATATATATATATATATATATAGTCTACGTTCGATTATATATATATATATATATATATGTATAGTCGATTACGCGTTCGATTATATATATATATATATATATATATAGTCTACGCGTTCGATTTATATATATATATATCCTTTTGTATTTGCAAATTTGCTCGTTCAGTTCTATAGAAAATGTTTAAATTTCAGATGTGTCTTTCTTTATGACTAACAGAGGAAATTAATTATCTCAATTCTAAAAGGCTTAGTCCAAATAAGATTAGACCAAAAACTAGTTAGTGTCACCCCTAGGGAATTCACGTGCTTTTGATTAAACTCAGTTCAATAATTAATTGTGATAATTGCAAGAAAAATGTTTTTACTCGATAAAATTTTTCTCTCTTTCCTCTTTTGCTAAAATTAAAGTTTCAAGAATTTAAGCAACAAAAGCAAAAAAAGTCTTTGTTTGGGATTATTAAGTTGTTCAACATGAAAATTCCGATTTCGCATTGAGCTTCACATTTTCAGCATTCTTTTTTCAATGTAAATATATATTCGATGGTTTATTTAAGCTGATATAGTATTTCCTGATTATTCAACAATTAGTTCACATGCGATTAATTTTATTCCCCCCACCAAAAAAAAATGCCTGCTCGAAATCCTGGGTAATTACTCGCTTTTGATATTTTCATTTTTAAGCTAAGAATTCATGTTGAACATTCTCCAATTATAAAATTCACGTATAAATCTCTAAGTATTGTTAAATATTGCCGTAACAACCATAAATATGAATACAGGTTATTATTGAAAATGATAGAAATGAAAAGAATAAAAACTGATAATATTTTTCCATCACAATCAAACATTAAACACGTCACTGTTCTCGCATACTCAATCTTTCCTGTTCTGACTGCCTTTCTTCTCACTGAAACTATACAGTCTCCCTGACATGTCTTTTCCATCTTTCCTCACGAGCAAAACAAAATATGCCTTTTCTATAAATACTTTCATACTAAGTGTTGCGATGAACTTCCCTTTATGGTACTTAGGCTCTATGAATTTAAGCGTGATAACGGCTCGGATTGAAGAATCGGAGATCGGAGTTCGAATTCCAGTCGAATCCATTACATTCACTTATGTGCTAATACCCTTGGGAAAGGTATGAAACCTCTTCTTCTATTCCCAACTATGGGTAAATAGCAGTACAGACCGGGTTCTATAGCCTTGGATGTCTACCGCAGAAAGAAATGACAAGCAACTACTGAAAAAGAAAATCTGCCTCGTCAGTCATGTATCTTTCGATACATGATCGCCTGGCGCATAACTGACTGAACAGATTGGTGGCAAGATCTTCTCATTTTACAGCCAAAATGGTTAAATGCAACCGTAAATTCTGTGCTAAGAATGATGCAAGTAATTATGATTACTTGCATCATTTACATCATTTGGGCTGTTATCCTCATCTTTATTGCTATAGTCACAACGTTGTACGTTCCGGCCTTCTTCAGGTGATTGGAATTTCGAACTGAACCCTTTATTTTCTTCACCGGGCTAGATTGTTCTAATTCCACGTGTCATGCCTCTTCCATATGCCTCAGTTATTTTCTTTCTACGCAACTCTCCAAGTTTTTGATTCACCACTGCTGTAGCTTGGTATTGAACTCGAAACTCTTTGGGTCTGATCACTGGATCTAACCAAAGTCTTTATCCTCTGAAATAATGTTAATTCAATACCTAGCTACAGCAGTAGTGAGTCGAGTTAAAGGGAGATAACTGAGGCATCCGGAAGAGCCATGGCACGTGGAACTGGAACAATTTACCCTGGTGGACGAAATAAAAAGTTCGTTTCGAAATTCCAATCCCCTGAAGAAGCCCGGAGCGTACAACGACCGAAACGTTCTGAATGTGCCAATGAAGATGATGATAACAGATCGAATAATGTAAATAATGCAAGTAATCATAATACCTCATCTCAGAGATATAGACAAAAAAATGAATGCTAATTTTTCGTTTAATAAATTCAGAAGAGGATTTTCAACAAGTTAGAAAGCAATATGTTCTAGCGGATAAAGACTTTGGTTAGATCCAGTGACTAGACCCAAAGAGTTCAATACCAGGCCAAAGCAGTGGTTAACCAAAAAAAAAATTGAGTGTTGAGTTAAAGGGAAATAACTGAAACATCAAAAAGAGGCACGGCACGTGCAACTAGAACGATGTACTCCGGTGGACGCTTTGAAATTCCAATCACCTGAAAAAGGCCGGAGCGTACAACGTTGTGAATGAGACAACGAAGATGAGGATAACAGTTCGAATAATGTAAATAATGCAAGTAGTTTTTTTGATAGCGTTCCAAGAGCTACTATGTGAAAAATTCTTCTGCGTTTTGGATGTCCCAACCACTTTATCTCTCTCTGGTTTAAGCAATCCATGACAATATGTCTGCATCTATATTCCACCAAATGATGCTTTCAGAAGAATTTCCAATCACGTGCGGATTAAAACAAGGATGTGTCACGGCACTTTTGATATTCTCCATATATCTGGTCGCAATGCTCACAAATTTCTCCAGAAAATACAAGGGGTTGATATCATATATTGATATAATGGAGGAATTTTCAATTTTAGTAGACTTCGATCTGGACGTCTGACACACACGCAACAAATCTCAGAACTTCAATATGCTGCCCTCTGTCATTCAAAAGAACCCCAACAGACTGGTAAAGGCCACAAGAGTCGGACAATGACTAAAATTATGTTGCTACAGTAGTCATTTTTTGAGGAACCAGTTTGTTAACCATTTCTCTACAGCAAGATCCTAATTACTGCCTACATAACTGTGATATACGTGTCATCTTTCACGAACCCTAATCGACTTTAATACTTAACGACTTCACAATACCTAAAACTACGCACCTCCACGAAAAATCAGAACCGTGATGAAAACATACTACAAATGTAATGAAAATATAGTTTTATTGTCAAAATCGTTATGTTGTTATTAAAAGGAAAGATTAATGTACTTTTTGATTATTTAATTAAATATTTTACTCTTCTTTAGAACATTCGAAATTTTGATTAAAAAATTGTTTTTCTTACGGCAGCGATTCTACTAAATTTTAGCATAGCTAATTTTCGTTTCTTTTTTGCGGTGGCAGAAACATTAATTTGAAAATTCTTGTAAAAATCAAATAATTGGCAGACTTTAATGACATTTTCAGGACTTATTTACAAATGAATGAAATTATTTTTTAATCTTTTTTATAAGAACATCTTTGTAAAAATATTTATTTTACATGTGTTTCTGCCCCTTAATTAATTTTAGGAAAAAAGAAATTCATCGAGGTAAATTTTTAGTGACTATATTTGTTAAAAGCAGTATTCTTTGAAGAATTTAAATCACCGATTTTTTTTTTAAATCGGTCTCCGTTTTACCAAAAATTTGTTCTGAATCGAAGAACAAAAAATATAATAAAACTAAGACATTATTTAGAGAAACTTTTAATTGCTTTTATGAATAAGATATATTAAAGACAATATTGTCTGAAAAAAATTAAATTTTTACAAGATTTGTTTTCATTAATTTATAATTCAATAATTTATAATTTTTTAAATCTTTTAAAATTAATTTTCAATGAAATATTTCTTAGAAAATATTGTTATTAAGTAAAACTTTATTTGCTAAACATATATTGTAAAGCTTATTACAATCTGACGATGCCGAATTTTTTTAAAAAGAATTTCGATTTGTTTTTTTATGTGTGATTACGTGCAGAATTTCTGAGGTATGGATGTAAAAATCGATAAATCTATCATTAAAAGGTCAGAAAAACAAAACCTCGTAGTTAAGAAATGTTTGTACACAACAATTTATGCTCTAAGTAAATAATATTTGTTTAAATCAGATTAATTTAATTAAAAAATTGTTAATTTTCCTCAAATAACGTTTCCGAAATATATTTTATTTTTACAATTTTTTAAAACCGAGAAATAACTTTTGTTAACAAAGGTGTCAAAAACTGCCGTTTTGATCATTTTAAAAAATCGATTCCAATCAATATAATTTCTGCTTGAACTACACCATAGAGTATTTTCCTGACTGGAACTAGTAAATTTTTCATCCTTTAGCTTTCAATTAAAGCTAAAATGAAAACTTCAAGAAAGCTTTTTCATTTTTAAAAATTCATTTTAAACATTACGTATACCGAATTCGTGGAAGTGCCTACATAAAACAATTCGGCTTTCCGACGTATCAACGGTATAAAGGAAATTTTCACGTCTTCTATTACATGTGGGGAAAAAGGAATTTTTGCACACAGATTATACCTACTACCTCTAGAGAAAAGCAATAATAACAACAAAATTGCAATATGAGCTCTGGTAAAAAAATATACTGAAACATTAAGATAATAAGTCCCCCAAATTCATACACATGGCCCAGTGGTTAAAAGTGTTGGTTGGATCCAGTGACTTAACCCAAATAGTTGTTAATTGAATACCTAGCTACGGCAGTGGTAAGTTGAGTTAAAGGGAGATAACTGAGACAT